TGGGGGAGTGGATCCTTGTGCAATGACCCATAGCAACGTAAGATCTATATTCCCTTCCCTACTCTTCATAAGCAGTAGTAGGACCGTTTTGGTCTTCAAGGGCTGTGATTCCTAAATGACCTGGATACAAGGTTCCCAACAGCAAAGCTGTGCATCATTCGTGTTACTTCTAGTGTGGCTCACGTCATTTCTTTGGACTGAAATTCCTCTGTTGGGCTGAGATGGTCATGCTGGGGCTTGGCCTTTTGGTGCCTTCCAAGAAACCCTGCAGCGGATTGCTTTGCAGTAAAGAGGCTAGGCTGGCTTTCTAAGCTCCGGGGCCTAGGCCAGACAGTGGGTCTCCATCATGCCCTGCGTACCGGCGCCCAATACCGAAGACAGACCAATTTCGAAGCAAACCACAGTAAAAGGATGCCTTAGCCAGACGTGCGACAGGACAGCAGTCTGCTTCGTAATTGAGGCATCGTAGAAAGCCATGATGGCTCTGAGTTCGGGACCTGTCCTTGACTTCTCGGAGACTTGGGCTAACCTTAGAAGTTGGTCTTCGCTTCAAATGTATCCCCTTGCCCACAACATGTTGTCATTGCATCGTGCTATTGGGAAAGGATGCTAACAGGCCCTCAGGGCTTCTTCAACCGACCCACAGTGAAAGGAGCATAGCAAGCCACCCCAAACCCCACGGATCGGAAAAGACCCGCACCCACAAAATGTCTTCAAGATCATCACATGGGCTGTTCAAAAAATTATAGCCCCTTTTGGTGATACATTATGTGGCGGTACTAAATGTTCAGCAGTACCAAAATGGGACTTTAATTTGGGAACTACCCATGTGACGCTATGCGTCCATCCTCAGGAAAAGCAATGCCCAATCAGAGCTCTAAACCCCAAAAGTCAGAAGTTCCCCGGGAACGCCGATAGGATTAGATCCTTCAGCCTACAGGGAAATTCAGGCTCTCAGAATACGCCTTCTCAATTTCTAGGCACATTCAGGGGTTTTGAGTGAGCAACACATCCTCCTATAGTCCCCCTTTAGATAGAATATGGAACTGCCCAATATCACAACAATACCCCATATTCTATCTATTTACGAAGGACGATACCCTAATCCCTGAACCTTACTTATTTGAGGGGAACTAAACCCCAACTCCTGAGTCCTAGTTATTTGAGGGGGACTATAGTAGTTGGCGGCATATCAGGAGCTCCTTGCAAAGCACGATGCTTGCTCACCAGATGAGCTGCCCCTCGGTGTGGGTTATGGGGTTTAGGGTTTAAGGCTTACGGATTAGGGTTGTGGGGTTTAGAGTTTATGGATAGTCGCTTGTTTTAGGCATGAAATCTTGAAAAGGGCATCTCCGTTGTGGTATCCGAGAACATAAGATAGGTTTCGAATCCCTCTCCCTCCGCTATCACCTGCACGGTGAGCCCCGGTTTAGAAGGACAGCTGTCTTGACTGGCCCTTTTTGCTAGTTAGGCATAACGTAGAGTTCTGCGCATGACGTCGGCTTGGCGCAAGATTTTTGCGCTCAAGTGAATTCTTTGTGAAGAGGACTTTGTCATACGCTTTGCCATGGCCCGTGCCGTACTGCTCTGGATGGCTTATGGAATGCCCTCCTACGTCGATGGATGGTGGGGGGGCGACTTCAGGGCATACCGCCAATGTTACCCAGAACGATACGGACAAATCGTGGCAGGGCGTCCCGCCCCTTTCGTTTTTCTCTTTTGGGAAAAGCACAGCGGGAGTTCCTCCCTCCCCACCCACTCCCCCGCTTGGATTTGCTGGGACCCCGAATGGATCGGCATCTTCTGCTACAGATGGGGATTTGAGTTGGGGTTGGTGGAGTGTCTCTCTTTTGGTGGAGTGGGCGGTTGGGCGAGTTTTTTCCACTCGCACCCACCCCGGATCCGCCTCTACACGAGGGGGCTGGGCCGGTTACGTTATTGATCGGTCCGGTTTGTGGATGTTCAGAAATTTTTGGCCAGCCGTTGCCTGGAGCATCTTAAGCACCTTGGCCGTAGGAGCTCTGGTAGGGTTAGCTTGGGCCCTCCGTACACTCAGGCAGGTTTGCTGTTGCTGTTGCCGTCGAGCCGAAGTTCCCCCGCATGAAGTGGGCGGTCCTTGGAGCTTACCGGCCCGGATGCCCCGCGTGCCGTGGACACCGAATATTACCAAAGGAAGATTCGAGGTCGAGGGGTCGGCCGAAGCCCCACGACGTGGTCATCAAGCTCGACCAGGGCGCTGCAAGGCTCCAGCCCACATGGGATGGCGGGTCGCGGATTGACCGAACCGGGCTCTTAGTGAATTACAGCCGAGTCTTGGGTGTTACCGATCGGCGGCTTCGAGAAGAGCTGGAAAGGGAAGGATGCGTCCATCTCTGCCGACAACGGGAATGCACCCACCCTGCTGTTCTACACTGCCGCTGCTATGCAGCAGTCGACTCGGAAGCCCTTGTCGACTTGGGGGCATATGGTCGTTTCAGCGCTTGGAGAGCTAGTGTCTTGCTCGCCCGTCTGAGCCACATGGTCATCCAGTTCCTGCTCTTCTGGATTCGATGGATCTGGAGAGGCAATGCGGCCCTTCGCCGACCTTCGGGGACGGGATCGGGCCCTCGACAAATCCAAGAACGTGGTGTACTGAGGTCCCTGGACCCTGATTCGGAGTCTGAGGCCGAGGTTCTAGAGGACCCGTGCCAGGCGGTTCAAGTAGGTCTGGAGTTGCAAGGGGCAGTTAAAGCCCTAGCTGTAGAAGATTGCACAGATAGGGCAGCTACTGAGCCAACCCGTTTACTTGAGAGGGATGCTGAGCTTTCTGATTTGGGGGGCTCCCATACTGCCCGATTGTGTAATCATCACAGCCAGCTTTACATGGTGTCGTGTCAAGGTCGGAAATGCAGTGTGCTGTCCTGCTATGGTGCGGTGCATGGAGCACATTGGGGCGCACCTCTTTGCAGGAAGCACCTTGCCGAGACCGCGCGTAGCCTTAGCCCCCCAAAAGTCAAAGTAGGAGCTCTTCGGGTATTACCTCTACCCCCCAGGATGGCACAGCCGGTGGAACCGCGATCTGTGCGGTTCGAGCCCACGGAAGGGTTGACAGGGGTTCCTCCTCATCGTAGGGAGCCTTCTCCTCGAGGACCTCGTGCCTCCAAGCCTCCCGCTGCGTATCTGGAACCCCTCACACCTCTCGAACAATGAGTGGCGGTTCCCGCCGGAGAACAGGTCCTTTGGTATCTCTTCCCGGGTACCATCATGGGGGTTTCCCCCGACTCTCGCAGGAACGAACGCTTGTTGGTAGAAGCCCCCAGTCTGCAAGTGCAGTTCAGCGTTCCGGCTTCGAGCGTGGAGGACGTCCCGGATCTCGGCGGAGAAGGACTTGCACCTCCCCCCAATGGGAGGGCACCTGAAGGAGTGGGCAGAGGCCTGCGACGGCGTTGCGGTGCAGATCAGGGAAACCCCCTTCTAGCCTGGCCAAGGAACAGCGAGCCCGCTTGACTTCCAACCCCGAGACATTGTTTATCCCACACGCCGCCTCGACCCCAGCTTGAGGATCAGCCTGTCGAATCCGAGGTGCCAAACTTCAGACAACGTCCAACGGCAAAGGAGATCATGGACGTCTACCAGGCCTGGCAGTGCTAAGGGGGGATTTCACGTGGAAGGGGCTGGATATTTCTGAAGAGGACGTACACCGGGCCCTACACCAGTACCCCCCTCCGCTTCCGCCTGCCGTGGGTCCACCACCTGGTCTTCCTTCTTGCTAAAGCCTCATGCGGTGACCCCAAGCGGTACGGGGCTTATTCAGGCTCTGGGAGACCATAAGCAAACGAACCCACTTCTTCAAGGTTCCCAGGTTATCCTATCCCAAGGTGGAGCTCTGCCCAGGAGTGTATGGCAAGGAACTGTTCGATCCATGGCACCAAGCGAGCCGGCCACCACGCCAAGCATATGCTCCAGCTCATTCGATGGCCCGTACTGATTAGCAACAGACTTGCTCTGGCAATAGCGGGCCTGTGGTGGGGAGGTGAAGAATCATATACTCTTCTTGCGTCGGACTGTGCCACGGCTAAAGCCGAGCAAGTCGAGGCTTGGACACCGCCGACAGAGCATAAGCTCGAATCCCGAGCTCGAGCACCAGCCGCCTTTCTCACGTGGCTCAGGTATGCGGAGAACGCCGTCAAGGTTTTCTGTTCCGCGCACGGTCTGGAGCATGTACCAGAACGGATGGCCTTTCTCTCAGCGCTTCGCGAGGCAAACGAAGAGGACGAGAATGCATTTCCGGTCGGGTACTGCATAAAGCTGTACGAGGAGCTCAACGCGGTTTGGTGCGAGCAGATCCGCGAGTCTCGCAGGAAGTTGCGCGCGAAGCTGGGCACAGAGAATCCGCGGCTGGAGGACCTCCAGCCAGTTGCATTGTCGAGTCGGCTGATGTTCCAGACTCCAAAGCAGGCAAAGGCCCTAATCTTAGATCGAGAGGAGGTTCCCTGCAAGAGGTTACCCGGTCGGTGAAGCATGCCGCCGTTGACCCTAAGAGCGGCAAGCCCATATGTTGGGACGCCGCTCAAGCTGCCCGAATGCGCACGAGCCCTTACCTGCACTAAACAAGCTCGACCCGACTGTCGCTATGCAGGTCCTCCGGAGAGGCGGACTCCGCGGGGAGAAAAAGGTCGATCCTAAGGAAGTTGACGAGTTACGCAACTTCGATCTCAGATGAAGGACGACCAGACGTGTAAGTTGTCTGACGGGGAAGCCTGACAAACCCGGCAAACCCAAAGGCAAAGCCAAGGCCTCTGGCAAAGCCAAAGCCGGGTGGCAGCTGCCAGACGACTACTCAGGCCCCATGACGGCTATGGAAAAGGAGCTCGGCGAGATTGGTCTAGGGCCAGACCTTTCTTGGCACGAGGCCTACCGACCTGGCCAAATGGTGGAAGGACCCTCGTGCTCTAGTCGGCGGGCACGCTCGATCCGATCACCCGGTGTATGGACACCCCCAGCTTGCTCAAGAAGCCCAGGCCTGTTTTGACCAGAATGGATATAAAGTCGGTCGCCAGAGCGAGGTCCCGGTGCCCGAGGCGCTGCTGGTCCCCAACCGTGAGGTTTCCGGGGACCAGGCGGATCAAACCCTCCGGGGGTCATTGCAAATCCCAAGGGCCTCTCCCTTCCGTATGAGGACCATCAAGACAAGCTGCCGGTAGGACCTAGCGCACCGCCTCTCTTCCCCAAGGTAGAGACCGACGAGCTTAGGCAGCGCCTCTGCTTGCATGTGGGGCGGGTTTTCGCGGAGGACGTTACGTCCACCCACTCCTTGGCTTCCTTTCTGCGCGCTGAGTTGTGGGAGGAAGCCTCGGCTGCTCACGGCCATTTGGGGGATGCCCCCCCGATGATTAGTGAGGCTGAGGCATTCGTCCGACATAACACGCATGATTGCCTGGCGCCACATCATGAGAAGGACGACCGCGTCTTGCAGTTGTTCGCTCCGAAGTTCATGGCTGGCCGTGCCCTCGCTATCCTCCGAGTTTCATCAAAGGGGCACTTGGAGGTTGATCTCCTCCGAGGCAGTGGCGCTGTGACTCGGTGGGGCCTGGTGGTCATCCACCGGGGTCATATGCAAGCCCTACCGCTCCCGTCGTCTCGCGTGCAAGAGCTTGTGGAGCACTTTTCTTCGCTCGGTCGCGTCGTGCGTGATCTTGAGGTATGCGGCTGGGCCGCTTATCTGGAACAGGGCGAGGGCTACGGCACCATGATGCTCTCTAAGCAGCACCCTGCCGTTCAGGTGAGACAATCCCTTGAGATCCTGCCGATGTCCCAGAACTCCCTCCGGGATCGTGGTAGCTTTTCTCATGGCCCCGTAGGCAGGAGATCTTCGCGGGGTGGGGCTGTTGGACAGCGGGTTTGCGGCACCAAGGCTTCGTCTGTGCAGAGCCCGTGGAGCTGTATTCTGATCCTTTGACTATGCAGGGGACTCGCCCGGAGCATGATCTGACCGATCCAGCAGTGGTGCAGCGCCTGCGTGACTTGGCACAGGCTGCACCAGCCCCGGATGTCCCCAATGTGTGGCAGTTTGGTTCGCCCTGTACGACCTTTTGCGATTTCCAGCTCTTGAATCATGGCACTAGGAGCTTCTCCTCGCCCTCCGGGGATGGTACTCGCGACGACGAGTTGTTGGGAAATCAGTTCGCTGACTTGTCCGCGGAACTCTGTGAGACATTGTTCATGCACGAGCGGGAATTTGCCTTCGAGAGTAGCGCACCGTCCGGGCGCTATCCCAAAATTTGGGATCTGCCCGGCATGCGGCGCATGCGGCAGCGTACCGGCGCCCGAATTGTGCCCATGGATATGTGTGCCTGGTACCTTGGCGTCCGAAGGGAGTGGGAATCAATGCCTTGGCATGCCATTACTTGCTGATCTGTAAGGGATCGAACCCCTCCAGCGTCATGTGGAATTAACACCCCTCCGTAAGGGTGGGGCACACCAGTGAAAGCTCCAGCAGACCTTCTCACGGAATGCACAAGGAGGTCCTCCCCACGGTGACGTATGTGCCCATAAGGGTGCGGAAGCCACTTGTCACCAGTGGTGAGAGGGTTCTTGAACAAGGGTACCCGAAACCGGAGCCGCCGGGGCTTTAGGGTCCAGGGGCAACATGGCCAGCGAGGGGTGAGGAGTAGCTTTCAGCCCTTCCAACTGGAAGTTGGGGGGAGCCCCCCAGATCGCAAGATTGCGCTTGTGAGCCGACAAGGAGCCCAAATGGCTGGTGATGTACTCAGCGAATACCCATTCTCGCTCAGGCTTAACTTCTCCAATGCAGTCACGGAGAGCGAGCTGCCGGGGGGAGTCCAAAACAATAACCTCCCCGCTTTCCAGCCCAAAGCCTTTTTTCACACGCCCTCGTTCCCGGCCACTCGGATCTTGTGAGAAGGAAGCCCAAAATCGAAGACCACTACCTGAGCTCGAATCAGAAGCCTCGAAGGCGGAGGCGCCGAATTTTGCCAGGGTCAAGGGCGAGCGGCAAGCAAGTACCAATCACCCAGGGCTGGTGCAGCCACACTCGGAGGGGGGCGGGAACGGTCGGAGCCGGCGAGGCCAACTGGCGAGCTTCCTGACCAAGGGGGTCCTCCTCCGGTAGCACCATGGCAGTATGCGTGGCTCCTGCAAGGAGAGTTTCCCAGAACTCAAGGCAGTCCACCTTGGCCCACCCCCGCGCCATCATGCTGCTGGTCACCTCGTCTAACGGGGCCCGGCTGATCCAATCGGCCATTTCATTGTGGTAAGTACGAATGTAGACTGAGTGGCACGTAAAGTTGCACTCGGCCTCTTGGACCAGACAGATCATGAGCCTAGCGAAGGGGTTCCTGGGTCGCCTCTTGGTGAGCCAGGAACGATGTTCTCATTGTCCGTTACGTACAAAATCAAGTCTCCGCTCCAATTCGGGGCTTCCTTCCCAGCGAAGGCGACAAAAGCCATCAGCTCGACAATGGAGATAATTTGCCCGTGCTCCACGTTGGGCAACCTTGCGGCCAACTGAGCCAAGTAAGGGGATGCGTCTTCCGAGGCGAACTTACGGTCCTTCCAGTCAAGGCTGCCGAAGCGGTCAAGCGTCGCGTCGCCTCCTAGAACCCGGAAGCCTTTCCCGAAAGGGGAGGAGCTTATCAAATGAGGCCCTAAAACTGGTACTCAGCGGTCTTTCGAGTTGGAGGCGGATGAAGTCTAGTGTCTGCCAAAAGTCCTCCCAAGCCTCCTCGTTCATATGAGGGTCCGCCCCTCCAGGGGCACTTGGATCCAAGGAACCATGACTCCCTTGCCCTCGCATGGGGCGATAGAGAGCTGGGAGCTTATACAGGCCCCAGAAAAGCTGGCAACCGGAGGGTTCTCCTTCCTCCGCCATTTTCTCCACATTAACTCCTTTGGGCCCCAGATCGCAACCATGGTCCGGTCCACGCAAGGGAGTGGAACACTCGATTGCCCCGAGGCTCCAAAACTACTCCGTCATCCATAAGCCAAAACCAGGGTCCGGGCGGTGGAAGCTCCCATAATGGGCTTTAGGGGCCGCGCTCCACGCAACGAACTCTCCGGGTGCTCCGACCCACCCAGACCAGGCTTATGATCACCACTCCAAGAAGTTGAACAGCGAATTGAATTGAAGTGCCATTTAAAGGCTCAAGGTACATCCCTCTTTGACCGGAGAGGTATTCCCGGGTGCCGAGCGTTCCACCAGAAGGGCCTGCCTGGCTACCCCTGGATGTCGAGGTTGGGGTGCCGGGGGGTGGTTGAACTTAGAGCCATGCTCATTCATATCGTTGATTGGACGTTTCTGTGCTGAAATGGTGCGATCTTGAGACCCCTGCCATTTCAATCAGATAGGCCTTGTGGAGGTAGAGCCCAGGGGAGACCAACCACCAGGTACGCTTGCCATGGAAATGCCCGGGCGTGCCCTCTTCCAGAGCCGTGGAGGATTGGATCACCGCGCCATTATGAAACAGGCCGTTCTTGCCCAGGCTGGCAAGCCGCGGGCTCCATCCTCGGGATGCTGGACGGTCCTCAAGATGACCCCGAGAAGGGCGGCAACTGTTTGGACCCAGACGAGATGCACGCAGATCATCAGCTGCAGATGGCTAGAGGCCTGGAACCGGAACAAATCAAACCCCAAGCAAGAGCTTGACCTGGTCCGAGCGTCTTGGCTGCCTTCAGCTTGGGAGGATACTGAGAGGTGTGGGGGTACCCCCCGGAAGCGGCCGGACCACAGCCTGGTCGTTCCCAGGTTGCTTAAAGAAGAACGCGAAACTCAAGGGCGGAAGTGGTTGAGCCCATTGGCAGTTCATGATAGACTAGCAGGCCATTCTCTCTTCACGATTTAATTGCTAGGGATTTCGCCGTCTTGCAAGTAGGTGAATACGCAGTGCAAAACCAGCGTCCTCAGAGTCTACACATGTGGTGTGACTTATAGAGAGCAGGGCTGATGGTGTTCTTCGACACTTGAGGCTGCAAGTCTGCCTGGTTCGGCCCGCGGGGCCTCTCCAGGTAGTAGGGAATAGCTCGGTCACTTGTTGTATAGTTTGGATCAGTCTTAGTGAGTGGCCATGGATGAAGAAGTCCCTATGCGTGCTGAATGGGAAGACGAGTTTCTCCCCACCACGCCCGGCAAGCAGTCTCAGAATCTCACCTGCGTCCTGAACGCTATCGGCCACTTCCAATGGACTCTCTGCTGTGCTGGATCGCGTGGAGCGCCTGCTGATGCGACAACCTGCAACCTTCTGACTCTTGGCGCTCGCAGGAAAGAGCCATGCGGACCGGTGCAAAGTCGGCTATTCGCCAGGCCAGGGAAGAGCGCGTGGCCTTGCTGACTTGGACGACACTGCCCAGGAGGCCATTTTGTCAAAGCTGGCCGATTCAACCAGGAAGTCCTATGGGGCTGGTTGCAGCTCTTCCTCGCCTCCTCGACCCCTTCCTCAGCGAAGAGACAAGGGCCGACCTCCCACCCCAGGAGTTGTCGGGAGCACCTCCCAGGGTGTTGAAGGGTCGTGACCTGGAGTTCTTCAGAGACGGGGACGTGCGGTGTAGCATTTGGGATGCGACTGCTGTGGTTCTTCAGCTCCGCGAGGCCAAGAATGACCAGTTTTCGAGGGGTCAGGTTCGCACCCATCATTTGACCGGCAGCTTTATCTGTCCGGTGTTAGCCCTAAGGGACTGCACGCCTGAACCCGCACTGGCTCAGTGACCCCGCACTACCCGTGTTTGCCAGTAACGGCAAAGGGATCACCCGAGAAGACATATCAACCCTTCTTCGAGTCTGGAGTGCCGCATTGGGGTACCCCCCGAACTCGTGGGCTCCCATAGTCTCCGTAAGGGGGGAGCCACGACACTATTTGCTGCTACGGGAAATATGGAGCTTGTCAAGAGATTCGGTGGTTGGAAATCCGATGCTGTTCATGCATATCTTTATGCTGACCTTCATGGAGGAGAACAACATGGCACTCGCATGCTGCGTTCTAAACCTGCCTTACAGCCCCAACAAAGGTCTCGGAGTACCCCCGCCCAGGCTAGACACCATCTTGCTGCTGACTGTAGGGCGGGTTGTAACGTATCGGATGTTCCATCCTTGTTATGCACAAGCCCGAATGCTTGCCCACAGGATGACGTCCCGGACCGCAGCACGAGGCATCTTTCAACTGTTGGCCCATTGGAAAGGGCTGCGACCGCTTCAAAGAGTACGGGGGTCCACACAGAGATGGGATCGACAATGGGATACGTGAAGAGGTTGCTAAGAGCATCGAGCAGGCTCAGAGAAAGCCCTGACTACCCCGAGCCCGTACTGGCGCTGCTGAAAATCGGGGTCCCCCCCAGGCCGCCGAGCCTCTGAAGATTTGGCCAGAGTGGTACGGTCAAGCCGCTGCCAGCGCCTCTTTGGCGGACGCCTGTGCCTATAACGATGGGCTTTAGGCGGGAGTCTCTCCAGAAGTGCTGGGGGGCCCTGCACCACCCTCTCCTCCAGCTGCCTCCCCTATCCCTGATCCCGCACCAGCCGCGGCGGTGGAGGTCCCGCCAGCAAGCGGGGGCCGCACTCAAGTCGGATCCGCCACCCGCGGTTGAAGAGCCAGCCGAATGTGCTGAGGGCCTTGAGGAGATAGTGGTGGGTGCCGTGTCACCTGAATTTCATTCCCCCCGCAACGGTCGCCAACGCAGTTCAGGAGGAGAGGGATGAGGACGGGCGCTATGTTTACCACCCTTCCTTCGTTGACCCCTGAGTGGATGAGAGTGAACTGGACGATGACGGTCTTACTGCCCAGGATCGCCTCGCACTGTTGAGGGAGACCTATGATCGTATTGCCACTAGATGGCAGATGGCAGGCACTGTCCCCTCGAGCCCGCAACAAGCGCCTGCTCCACCTGGCCCAAGGAGGCACCGTCCCCTTGGTGGGGCTGGTGCATATCCCCGCGGCGACACAGGCCGATGCTCCTACCCCGCCCCCTACAGCGAAGGGTCGAGGGACTTGCGGCCATCGGCGGTTACCGCCCGGCAGATCCTAAATACCAGCAGGATCTGGGTGCGGGTCTCACCTCCCAGAACGCGTTCATGAGCCGTCCTGCGCGATGAAAGCAGGCAAGGAGATCCATCCCAACCTGCCCGCCAGGGCCGGACCACTGGGGAGCTCCCCCCCGCTGCAGTCACGTGGCAGGCGCCACAAAGAGGAGATGATGTGGCGCTGGGAGCAGCTCCGGCGCAGAGGAATTACCCCTTGCCGGGGAGAGGAGAACAACGGAGTTTCCTCCCGGGCATGAGCGCGAAAGCAGTGGACGGCCAGACCAGTGGGGGACCCCCCCCCTCGCTACGACTACGAGGAGGGGCTACCTTTGCAGACAGTGCGGCCGCGGCAGCT